GGGGGGGGGGGGGGGGGGGGGGGGGGGGGGGGGGGGGGGGGGGGGGGGGGGGGGGGGGGGGGGGGGGGGGGTGCAAACACTGCAAATGAACCGACAAAGAAAGAGAAGAAGAACAAGCACGATACAACACAACACAACAGCACCAACCTCCGGTGGAGCCAAAACCATGGATGGTCACAGCAGAGGAACGGCCGTGTAGTCGTCATTTGAAACATAGCCGCACCAGTTGTAAACACCAAGCTCCGCGGGTCTCGATGAACAGCCAGGGCAGCCAACCCAGACGAGCTTCCAAACATAACTTTCAACGATACATCATGCCGAAAAGGACATCTATAATACCAACCACATCTCCACCGTGTTGCTGCCGCATGGCAACAGCCAACGGGCAATGCATCAGAACAGCCGCGGCAAGTAACGCGGAGCTGGCTCGAAAAATAATTGCACGGCTTATCCTCGAACCGTCACGACCGCGACAACCACACTCAGCCCCAAAAGCTAACAGTGTTTTCCGTCAAGTGACAAAGAGAAAATGTCATCTCAACATGTTTACCCTTCTATGTACCGTTCAACAACAACCGAGAACCGGAGCAGCGCTTGCTCGTGTGCATGGGTTAGAATATAAGTAAGACTCGACAGCAAAGAGGCGCCCTCAGCCTAGGCATCGCCAACAAGGGCACCGGCATGTTTGAAAACGAACCAAGACTGCTGGATCCGAATATGCATTCTGACGGGTCGATGCCTTACATACGCCAGTCCATCACGCACACCGTGCTTGTCGAGAAACAAGCAGCGATGCGATCCTCTCGGAAATTCCAGGCAACCTCGAAGATGTCGCCCTCCCCCTAAGAAAAATCAAGAGACAACAGGACAGAGGGCTCATGTCTATTTGGGCTGGGCAGGATAGGCTTCTGGGCGCGAGGCTGACATTGAGGAACGGACCTGAAGAAGACGCACGGAAACGTTCAACACAAAGTGTGGCACGCCCTTGTGGTGCACACCACACACACTACCTTGACGCTAAGACATGGAGTAATTGGGGGCCGCACGGCACCCCTTGCACAGGGACGATTGGCAGACTGAACAGGTATGCTCGATGTTAAGAAGGACTCCGTCGTGATCGCAAACGGTTCTCGTGCAGGCACAACTTGCTTCGTGTTAGCATCAAGTGAGATGAGAAACCGCGGCAAAACACACACCCTGCTTTCGCCGGGCACAAATGACCTGGCACGTACCAACATCAAGCAACGTACACTCGCGGCAGCCAGGAACAAAACAGCAAAATCGAACAAGCTGGACCGCATCAGGAGTCAATAAACTATCGAAGGACGGTGGCAAGAAAATGTTGACTACGACAACGATGACATAGCTGAATCTACATACCTGATAGCTCTTGACAAGAGTGCCGTCCTTCACGCTCCAGATGTACAAATGTCCGGCAAAAGATCCACTCACCAAGTAGTCGCCTAAACAAACGATGGGGGTCGGCGGGAAAGGCTGAGGTTACCATCAGGGTAGAAAGAAGAAACACGAGCATCAGGTGCAGAGATACATGGTTCAGGTCTGGGTCTTGAAAAGGACCGTGGCGAGGCCCAGGTGCATTGGTGTCGTCGAAACTGTCAAAACGTCCGCCGTGGGAACAAAAGAAAACAGGGACAGCAGTTGCCCGGCGAAGTCATGCACCTAGCGAAGCTCATTATTATATGTGCGCTTTTCGGAAGATGTGGTCCTCTCTGGCAAAACAAAACGAACGGAGCTGTAACTTCTGCGGTACCCATTTACATCGAATGCTATCTGATGTTCTTGCGATAAATCCATTCCACGTGCCGCTTGCTCCGTGTTGGTAGTTGCCGACCGTCATTCCTACTCCGCACTGCACCCCTTTAGGCCCTACGGTAAACAGCATGCCGAGGTCTACAACACCAAGGCCCGAACGACCGAGAAACCAGCGTAGAGGACATACACACCAACTCACGCGCTGGGTGGCGCCCAACACCAAAACCATACAGAGTGCCTCTTTGCACGTGAACGGTTCCCAGCACCACTCTTTCTGGTAGCTGGCAACCATAGCACCAAACGTTTCCAACATGACAATCTCGCTAAACCGCACGGGGACACCAACTACGACACACAAGCGAGACATAGTACAAAACACCACTAACAGGCACACCGCCGTGGCGCACCTGATGGGCTGAAGGCCACGCTATAGACGGGGTCTTGATGCCTCTGAAGGGTGGACACCACCTTGCCGGCGTGCACATCCCAGAGCTTGACCGTGGCATCGAACGAAGCACTGCCACACAAAAACAACAGGAGCGGTTTGTTGTGCGATATGAACAACACGTTTGGGTGCAAGAGACTTCGGGCAAAGGGTGACGAACGAAAACACATCAAACAGTTTCATCATCATGGGCTCACATCAAGGCAAGCAGCCTTCACTGACTGGACACCCCATGGACCAGACTAGACTAGAAGTCGTCACGATTACTATTCACTATCCA